CTGGGGCATCCAGCAGCTTGCTTAAGGTCAGAGAGCTAATAGTGCCGGGATGGGAAATGGGGTCATTTGTTTTCTAATCCAGCACTTACTCAACTACCATACAAAGTCCTAGCTGAGGCCAGTATATCTGGGGAGGGGGCTGCTGACTTCTGAACAAGGTCTCAAGTTCCATGAGGGGCCCCATGGCTGAAGGAGGGTAAATCTCCAGCGGGGCTGAGTAGGCTACTCAGTGACCTGTTTAATGAGGTCCGGGAGGGTCTGGCCAAGCACACGAGTCAGGTGGGAGAGAATGGGTGCGGGACTAGACATCAAGTGCTGGGGTGTGGTCCCAGAGAAATCCACGACGTGCCACATGGCATCAGCAGTTGCTGCATCTCCTGAGCGTAAAGAAATGGCAGGACAATGCCTAAAGAGTTTGGGGGCAGAAACAACATGGGAGCAGTGTTTAATGCAATACTGCCCTACAAAACAGGCCTAAATATCAACACACCTGTGGTATGTAGAAAAAGTGGTACACCAGGAGCCAAAAAAGAAACTCCAACCTGATAATCAGTTAAAACTCGGGTGTAATTTAGTTTAATTGCTTAGAAACCCCTCATCAGTAGAAGGGAAAACTAACACAGGCAGTCTACCTTAGTACTCCATAATCTCCAATTTAACCATTCATATTTCTTTACTTTTTTTGGAGTCATACTAATACTATGCCACAGGGACAAAAGACACGTAAACCGAGCAAGATAAGTGAACAATCTACCTGCAAGAAACATGACTGGATTTGAAGTTTGACGTGAACTTCACAGGAGTAGGATCTAGTTAGTGTCCTCAGAATCACTGATCTGACATGCACACCAGGACCACTAGCTCTGTTCCTTCTCTAACAGCAGGAATCTGCTAAACTGCTTTTAGGGGACGCTGGCAGAACCTGAAGACCCTTCCCAACTGAGCCTCCCAGCTCATGTCCTTCTGGTAAATTACAGTGGTGCCTAGAATATGCCTCTCTCCCCTTTCAAGGCAGCCAGAACCTCTGACCCATAAGCTTCCGAACCTAAGCAGCCTCCTCTATTACCAAGTTGTTGAACAGTCATGTTTTATTTGTGTCAGGTCAAGAAAGATTGGGAAACACTGCTTTATGGTTTTCAAAACCCTCTCACATATGTTACCTCATTCACTTCTCACCACCCCAGGCTGGAGATAGATTCACCAGCCCCTGGGGAGATGATGAGCCTGCCTGAGGGAGACGGTAGTGGGTCAGGAACTCCGATCTGAGGCCTAGTCCTAAGTGCTACATGAGTGCCACTACCACTTGGCCTGGTGGGGATGCATATGTGGGGCAGCATATGTGGGGCATCTCTGCCCTCAGGCCCCCACCTTGTCATAGAGGGTGCCCACCATGCTGTCCTCTTCACTAGTGCCCAGCAACTGGGCCAGTAGCTTGTGCCCGAAGTGCAGATAGATGAGTCCCGCACTGCTCAGCTTGGTCTGCCATGGCTTCCCAGGGGACAGGGAGCTCATGGTCTCTGTGAAAGACCTGAAAAGCACAGGGAGGGGGTGCTGAGGCACAGTTGCCCTGCTTAACCCATGGTGTGTGTGCATGTGTAGGCACAAGTGGAGGCAGGGAGGCTGGGAAATACTGCAGGAGTTGGAAGGAAATAGCCCGGCTGGAGAGGCTTTGGCTTTTCTTCAGGGGTCACATAGATCCCAGCTTGGAGTCTCCATGTATGCATTTGACAATGGTTAACTCAGTGCTTACTATGTGCCAGACTTTGTTTTTAGACGTTAGGGATAAAAATACCAAGACTGTGTTCCTGTCTTCAAGTTCATCTGCTAAAGGCACACAAACAGAAACCACCAAGCAAATGCTCTAGCTAAATTATAAGTAAGGAGGTGGGATGGCGGAGAAGGATTGAGGAATAGAGCCTTCAAATCATACCTGAAAGATGAATACTGGGTGTTCATCAGACAGAGTGAAGGAGAAATGGTATTCCAGGTAGAGGAAACATGTACAATAAAATTGCAAGAAAGGCAGCTTGGGTGTGAGTGACCAAAAAAAAAATTGGAAGGGTAAGCAGGGGCCAGATCATGGCATTGTATGCCGTACTTTGGAGTCTGGACTTTAATTTATATGTAATGGGAGTCACTAAGAGATTTTAAGAGACAAGTGCATGTTAGAGGATTGTGTCAGTCAGCATGGAGAAAAGGCGCAAAAAACTGCATTGGTCTGGGTAAGTGAGGAAGACAGGAATTTGAGTAGCAGTGGGACAGAAAATAGGGAAAAGGTATGGCAGTTGTCAGGGAAGTAGAAACCATAGTTGTAATTTGTAAATACCAATCAGAATCACCTATGGAGCTCATTTTTTGTTTTATGATTTTTATTATTAAGTATTTTTCTTTTTAATTGAATTTACTGGGGTGACACTGATTAATAAAATGATGTAGGTTTCAGCCCTGGCTGGTGTGGTTCCGTGGATTGAGTGCCAGCCTGTGAACCAGGGGATTTTGCTGGTTCAATTCCCAGTCGGGACATGTGCCTATGTTGCGGACTGGGTCCCTGGTGTGGGAGGCCGCACGAGAAGCAACCACATACTGATGTTTATTTCCCTGTGTTTCTCCCTCCCTTCTTCCCTCTCTAAAAGTAAATAAAATCTTTTAAAAATAAACTATTTTTAAAAATTATGTAGGTTTCAGAGGTACAGTTCTATAACACATTTTATCTGTATATTGCATTATTATTGAGTAAATACAAAAAATTTTATAAAATATACATAAAGTATAAAGACTAACAATAACTCCCACCCCATCTAAGTTTCAAAATGAAGCAAAACTAAATAAATTGTTGACGGAAACATATATATGCTAAATTATACACTATGGTACGACGAACATAAAGTTTACTTCTGGAGCAGGTTCGGGGGTGAGATAGGGAAGGACACAGGTACAGATTCAGAGGTAATGGTAATATTCAAGTTCTTACGTTGGGAGATTAGTTCATGGGTATTCATTTTATGTTTTATATTCTAGAAATGTTAAATACACTCTTTTACCTGTCAAATACTGCATAATTTTTTAAAATCTACGTCAGATCATTAGGAAAAAGGAAGTAGTCAATAATGTCAAAGTGCCACAAAGAGGTGAGATTCTCAGCCAGGAACCTGAGCTTGGTGTTGAAGTCACTGGAGCCCTATTCATGAGCATTTCCAGTGGAGAGACTGGGAGAGAACCAGCTGAATGAATGAATGAATGAAAGAAATGAATTAAAAGGAATGTGGAACCAGAGTCAGTTCTTTTGAAGAGTGGCTGAGAAGTGACAGTTGTATATACTGGGAGGGTTCCCTCCCAACATCATTTACAAATACATACACTTAAACAAAAGAGGGAGAAAAATATTTAGAGACTTAATATAAAACACTTCCTAGTCCCTCAGAGATAATCACTTTAAACAGTTTGCTGTACATGAGGGAGGATTTTGTATCTATTTATGTTTTCAAGATGAGGATGCCCAAGCAGAGTTTTAAGCTGTTGGCAAGGAGAAATAGAAACACTGGTGGGATGTCCAAGAGGAGAAAGTAATAGATTGGAAAGGGGAGGGGGGAAGAAGGAAAGTGTTTTGCTGCACTGGAAGGAAGGAGCAAAGGATGTTTAAGAGTGGGAAAGAGGACGTGCTTGTAGGAAAAGTTAAGTTTCCTTTGAAAAGAGACTCACTCACTGAGGGAGTGTGATGAGGTAGGGCCTGAGGAGAGGGGGAAAAGGATTGGCATGATACTGTAGATAATGGGCTACCCTTGGAAAAGGCAGATTTCCCAAGACGAGAGAGTACATGAAGAGAGCAGACCACACATCTGAACTGTTACCAACCATTACAATCACGTGGGCCCAAAGTATGAAGTGGAGCAGCAAGGACAAGCGAATGGATTAAACCCTGCTGAGGTACTGGGATGATTTAACAGTGCTGGTGGGAGAAAAGCCTGAGCCTGAGCCAGAGAAGACGAGCTGGGAGGGGCCTGAGGACTGACTGGGAGCCAAGGGAGGCCTGGGCAGATTAGAGAGCTCAGGGAGGTCCAAGGCCAGGTAGATGGGAATAGAGCACGTGGGGAGAACTAGAAGGATGAGGCTGTAGTCCCACAGGACTCAAGAGTTTGCACCCTGGATGAGTCAGTTCCTTTCCTGACGGAGACCACTACAGTGGCTGGCTGAACTGGAGCACTGAGGAAAACTGAAAGTAACGCGGAACCCACCTCTGGTGATGGTCATATCGGTGTCTCTGAGGGTCGTACTCGCCACCAACGTCTACCACGATGTCACAAGAAGCCAGTTTTTCGGGGTCTCGGGTCCGCACAATCTCTGCATCCTGCGGGGGAGGGGGTCACCAGAGGTGAGGGAGCTGCCAGGAGTCGCGCGGGTACGGGGATTAATGTTGGGTCCCCAGGGGAGTCAGGAGGGTAGGGGAAGTACTGTGGCCGCCCGAGCTACTGCACGAGCCCCGTGAAGGCACGCGGGCAGCCGCAGGTGGGCCGTACCCGGTACTCCGGCAGGAGGCGTAGCAATGCGCATGCCAGGGCCTCATCGCAGTGAAAGGTGCCGTTGTGTGTCCCGATTCGGGGCGGTGCCATGAGGTTGCTGCGGGATCGTTTCGGGGGCTTGACGGACTCCAGGCTGAACAGGCGGTGCCGGACAGTGACGTGTGGCGACTGCAGCAGCAGCAGTAGGAAACCTCGCAGGAAACTGCGGCCCATGCAGCGTCTCCCACGCGAAGGTGGGGGTGCCGACCCGGAAGAGGAAGTGCTCACACGGCCTCCACTTCCGCTTGTCAGAGTTTCCCAGGGCTACGACCCCCTAGGAGGGGCACACGGCGCGGCAAAGGCAATCCTCCAGGCTCCTCCCGAAGGAAGTCCGGATGGAGCCTCCAAGATAAGCACCGCCTCAGGCTCTGGGGCGGGGCACACTCTCTAGATCACCGCCCTCCCAGCCCTTCACCAGTCCCGTAATGCAAGAAAAGACCAAAATTCTGCCCACCTGGAACATTTATTGGCATTACACAGAAAACCCTTCTCTTCCCCACCACAAAGTTCCAGGCCCTTGAGGTAGGGCCCTTCTGCCAGATTTCTGAAACAAGGTCTTAGGCCTTGGCAGCCTGAGTTGCTCCCAGGGCTGTGAGCTGCTGAATCTTCTGGCTCATCATCTCCATGACAGCTGTGGGGAAAAAAAAGGCAGACCCTAGTCAGGACCTAAAAGGAAGAACCCAGAATTAAGGAAAAGTGACTGGGAAGTTTAAGGACAGGTAGACAACCAACTACAGTTAATCAAACTTTTAACACAGTGACCCACTGTCAGGGACACACACTAACACAACTTTAGAATCTACAATGTGTCACTAAGTAACAGCTGGGATATAAAGATGAACAAAATACAGTATTAAACGAGTCAGACAACCAAAAATTGTAATGTGGAAAAGATTTCTGCCTTTAGAACAGTGGTTCTCAATCTTGATTGTGTAACACAATCACCTGGGGAATTTAAAAATAAAACTCTGAACCCTGGAATCCCTGCCCACCCCCAGCCCCACCACTACCCTGCTTGTTCAGTTAATTTGGAGTGGGCCCAGGCTTTCTTTTCAAACTCTCTTGGTGATTCTAGTGTGCAGCCAGGGTTGCAATTGATTGTACTTAGGGCTGTATTTCTTTCCTTTGTGTTCATTTACACCTATCTTTTTCCCCATTCCACCTCCATTAAGAACAGAGGTGTGAATCCTTTCCTCTAAATTTCTCAAGCACCCAACTCAGGAATCTACAAACAGTGGGTATGTAATGTACAGAATCTACAGAACAACACATCAAGACACAAAAGAGAAAGATACAGTTTTAATCCAGAAAGGAGACACACTCATGGTTCGCAACGCAATCCACGTTCTTTACCATGGAGGTAGAAAGGATAAAGAGGTGCAGCAGTCAAGCTTACCCTGTTTCATGGCATGCTTCTCCTGCAGAGCTGGCTGGATTTTCTCCATTTGCTTGGTGAGGAAGTCTATTTTCCTCTTGAAGAAGTCCTTGGCATCCTCAGCTGTCTAAAAGGTCAGAGGTGATGGAGGAGCTAAGTGGCAGCCCCATGCCGCCTCTAAATCTTCCCCTATACTTCCTTTTGTTGCTCAGAGGGGCATCTACATGGTTCCTTCCACTCACCTTCTCTACATAGTAGCCAGTTCCCACATCGATGAGCACGTGTTCCACATCATGTAGCTTCCCAGGGACATACATCTGCAAAGCAAGGGTTAAGGGAAAACTAGCCCAGCATGAGTCGATTCCTTGGGAGCCAGACTGCTTGGCTTCCTAAGACTTTCTTTTCTAAAAAGTTACAAGTCACAGGGACTGAATAATCTGGAGGCCTTAGAATTATTGCTGTAAACTCCAATGTGGAGAGATGGAGAAGTTGGTTCTTTATGGAGAAAATACATACACTGAAACACTCTCTTGCCCTGATCCCACACGCCAAGCAAGTAGCCCCCTCCAAAATGACTGGACACAATATTTCCCTACTGCCATAGAGTAGTAAAAATGAAAAGCCAGCCTCACTTGCTCTCAACACCTTTAACATCGTTAGCTAATTCCTGATGGATTTAATGTTTATTATCTAGCCAGTTCCTACATTATTTCTTTGTTCCTCTTCTAGCCTGTCAATTCTCAGACTAGTTTACAGGTGCCCTTCTGTCATAACTTGATCATTCAAGTAAAACACTCAACAGGCAGGCAACAATCCAAGTTTCTTAGTAACGACAGTTTAGGACTAAGAGCCATAATTGAGCTGAAACTGAGAATTAGTACAGAGCCAACCCACTTGTTTCTGTGTCCTATGCTGTTGCTTATGTCTTCTAAGTTATTAGTGAAAGTATAAATCGCCAGTTTAAAACAAGGAAATAATCACACCTCAATTATACATACTCTTTGGTGCTCACAAGGCAATAACTAAATGCTGGCACCAGGATATAGATAGGAGAGCTAGGCAGTGTGTACAGTAAGAGCTCTTAGAGTCATGGGGACACTTTGGCGTCATCCAAACGACTCCCACCCTTTTTTGCGGGGGAGGGGTGACGGAGAAAAGGATAGTTTCTGTGGAAAGGATACAGAACTCGTCAGTGGGACAAGTAATTCTTTCCCTGTGAAAGCAATTTAGACAAACATCTGGGGAAGGTTGGCAGCTCCAACATTAAGACGATAATGAGAGTTCAAATATGGCACAGCGCAGATAGTATGAAAAGAACTGAAACGGGCAAGAGGAGCTATGTCTTGTACTTTTCAATTCTAGGTAGGCAACATGCAAAATGTTCACAAAGCGGTAAGAATATGTAATGGGTTGTTTCTCATCTCAGGTAAGGAAGACAGGTTTGGTTTAGTTTAGGAGACGGGACAAGAGGCCGGCTCGCCACATCCCCCAGACTGCCTTCGCGCGCCTACTCCATACCCTCATTGCTCTTGTTCAGCACGTTCAGACAGTCCTTGGCTTCCACATACTTGGTTTGTACCACCTTGAGCTGGGCAATGGACGTGGACAAGAACTCTACTTCCTACAAAGTTCAGGAAAGAGAATCAATGTGGAGCTGGAGGGAGAACGGAGCATTGCCGGAGAAGCGGGGGTGCGGTTTGGAGGGGAAGGGAAGCCTCCCCAAGTGGGGAGGAATGGGAGGCGAAGGCATCCGCATGGGCAGGGGGGATGTGAGGCCGGAAAGGAGTGTCTCTGGGGCCGTCCCCACCTGGTCCAGCTGGTTCTTGAGCATTTCCAGCTGCGGAAGATTCAGCTCGGTGATGTTGACCGACTGCGCCATGTTGGGAAGGAAGACTAAGAAAGCGGATGCCGGCTCTGCGAGCAACGCTCTAGCCATCCTCTGCGCATCTCGATGGCTGCGCTCGAAGGCCTCGCTGCAGCAGACATCTCTATGATCCTGCGTCTCGGAAGGGCAGTCTCTTGAGACTCACCTTCAGTTAGAGAGCGGCGCTTGCTTTTTCATAAAACATCCCAAGTCAAACGTAGTAAAGTTGTAGCAAACAGGACTCGTGCCCTCAAGGAACTTAAAAATCTTAAAAGTAGTCAGGCTATAACCACAACGTTGCAAAGCAACGAATGCTACTCCACGTGGGTGATGTAAACCTAGTGACAAGTAGGCAAGGCCTGTGAAGTTCTGCGATGGGGGGAGGAGCGCCGGGAAAGTGGTGCTTTGAACAGATGAAGTAGAAGAGAGGCTGGCAGTGGAGAGGACAGTAAGGAGACATGTTACCAACCAGCACAGCACAAGGTTTATTCATCAATACATATGTTTATACCGTGTGCTAGATGTGAGGGCTACATGAATGTATAAGATACGTGTTCTGAGGAAATTAATGTAATTGGGGAGAAAGCATAGATAAGCAACAGAACCCCACATACCCTTTTGCCAAAGTGCACTGACAAGTGTAACAGCTGTCTGTGGGGAGAAAACAGTAGTCTTTAACATTCACTTAGGAGGGGGTCAGGGAACTGAGGTGTTAAAGCTGGTGTCACTCCTAGGATACCTGAAGGCAAGAAGACAAGATAGACCTGATGGTACCTGGTTAAGACAGAGTCAGTGGGTTTATCTCTACCCTTCCTTGACAACTCTTTCCCCACCTAAAGCATCTTGATGTCTTCTTTTAGCTTTGTGTGCTGGGCTGAGGGAGGTCCAGCTTTGTTCTGTGGTTTTTGTCTTCCCAGTGCTCTCAGACTGGGACTTCTGCAAGTTGTTCTGTTTATAGTACCACATTGTGGGAGGTAGCAATAGTCTTCAGATGTTTCTGATGAACTACACAAAACAGGGTTTAAATGATAAATCTTTATTATATTAAGTTACAAGGAAATGTTTTATATAAAACATTGGGGAAAACCATTTAAAAATATTTATCCTGAGGGTTAAATCTAAGTATGGGAGGTAGAGCAGTCACATGGCTTCTATCGGTGATAGGACAGCTCCAAGGAGTCACTGCAGGGAGACAGGCAAGCCATAGGCTACAGGTGCAGCCCCAATAAGATACTTGAGTCGGGGAGCCTGGCGGGCCTGGTTGACATAATAGAGAAGTGGGGCTCCTGGGCCTGCTCCAAGCCAGCCCTGCAGCAGCGCCTCCGTGTAGCGGTCAATGTCACGGTCAGTCACATCCCAGAGGTTACCCAGAAACAGGGGACTGGGAAAAAGAAGGAAAAAATACAGAGGACTCTAAAACAACATATAGAGGAAAACCCAACCAGTGGTTATGGTGGGTGAGTAGAGAGAACTGAGCCAATGAGGCAGTCCTTGTCCCACAGTTCTAGAAGGAGAGAAGAGAGCAATGGGTTAATGGCCCCAGGGAACTAGGATGGCAGGAAAGTGGGGCACAAAGGAGGAAGGATTTAGACTTCAAACCTAGGAAAGAACCTGGGGTAGGGACCTAGGGTGGACCTTGCCCCTTGAGACTCACCAGCCAGCCATGATATACTTGAGCACGATGCCAGCCCCCTCCAGGTTTCCATGCACAGCCAGGGCTGCGCTGCTGCAGCCAAAGAGCAGTGCCACTGCCCGGCAGCTCAGCCGCAGAACAGCCTGCCCATCCAGGAAGCGGGCACCAGCCCCGTGCCCTGCATAGCTAAAGCAGGACAAGGTGGGATGAGTCTGACCCAGCTGTACTAGGCCTCTGCTGTTTCCAGAGGTGCCTTGAGTCAGTCAGGGGCTGTAAAGCCCCAAAGCAAACCAAAGCAATGCCCTCCTCTGGGGCTGCTCTTCTCCCCACCTCCCTGTCCTAAGCACTCACATGTATAAGTCACGCTCTGTCAGGGCCTCCTGCACCTGTTCCAAGCTCGGCACCTCCCCAACCACTCCTTTCCAACCAGATTCACTGCAGGAGTAAGAATAGGAGTCATGTAGCAAATTGGGCACAGGGACTACTAAGGAAAAGGTGGGTTGCAACATCTGGTTCTGGAGAAAAGGACATGTTGCACCTATATGTTGTTGTTGCCCTTACCCATCCCGTTTTTCACTCTTATCGTCCTGACCTGCTAAAAGTGGCTCGAAATTGCTCCTCTGTGCTTGACAGGTTATTGTGAGGGTTCAGAACATAGAAGGTACTGCGCGGATCCACCCCTTGGCTCAGCACTGGTGAGGCCCCAGACTAGGGAGGAGACACTAGTGATCAGCATCCTGGTCTGGCCTGAGGGCCAATAAACTCCAAACCCCATTCCATGACTGATCCACTTCTAAGACCCTCTCCTACCTTCCCAATCACCGCCAATCATCTGCAGTCCACACTCCCTGAACCTCACCTCTTTGATGATAGCATAGCTGAGCAGGAAGCGGAAGGAAGGCAGCCGAGTGACAGGCAGTGCCCGAAGGCTGGGCATGCTCTCCCATGGCAGCTTCTGCAGGTCCTGGGTAAAAAGCACTCAGAGGTTATGGTCCCTAGGCAGGCATATGCAGGAGATGGGGTGTGGGGGTGAGTTGGTGCCTCTATGGCCCTTAGCTCCTTACCTTGTCTAGCACTAAGACAAGGTGCCTACAGCTTGGTATTGTTTGCCCCTGGAGACGTCCAACTGCCTCACTCAGGAGTTCGTGAGCTCGCTCTGGCTGGGCAGAGCACAGCCCATAGGCCAGGGCCTGAATATCCTGGGGGGTGAGAGTACTGGCACCACTGAGCATGATCTGTAGGGGAGCAATGGTCAGTGAGTGCCTTAACTTCCATCTCCACTCGCAGTGGCAGGTGGGAAGGAATTAAGTCTAGCTTCTTCCCCTTCCCTGAATTCTCAACTCACTTTCAGGAGAGTAGGGTCGGGATATTTCCAGCCACATTCCTGCAACAACTCTTGTAGGCGGGAGGCCTCCTGGGTAGGGCTGGGGTCCTCACTGAATGGCAGCAACAACCCCCTCCAGCAGCCCAACACATCTTTCTCCAGGGAAGTGATCAGAACCTGAATGCAGAAGAACAGAACCTCCAGTCAGAGATGAAGCTAAGTTTCTTTCCCCATGGGCACCAACATTTTGGAGGTGAGGAAATGGGTTTTCCAATGTGTGTATTTGTCTTACATATCTTTCTGCCAGTCACAAAAGGGAAGAGGCTAGAAACATCTTTCATTTGCTGAGACTCTGGGGGAGTATAGATAAGATAATCTGTTACATATCTATGAACACGTGGGCAATGAAAGCTAAAGTGGGGAAGCTGATACTTGGGCTTAAGTCCTTTTTCTTGTAGATACCTTTAAACATTCCATTGCCATAACCCCTTCAAGTTGTGGGCTCTTGTTTGAAGTTCTTCCCAAGTAACATAATTTTTTATTTAGGCCTATAATTCCAGAAAGGATCTGAGGCATCTTAGCATAGAGGTGGCACCCCTGAGTGTGAAGACACTGGCAACCCCAGGTGATTTCTAGGCCTGACCCCACCCCACCCTGGGGCCACAAACCTCCATCCTATGGTCCAGTTCTAGCCGCCCAGTCCACCATTCTCGCTTGTCAGTACAGCTGCTGTTTTCTTTCTGTTCCTTCTGGATGGCATCAAACTCTTTCAGGGCAGAGCTAAGAGGAAGCTTTGGGAGATGGCGTTATGAGATTTCTGCTTGTCCACAGGATCACCATCTCTCTATCCCCCCAGTCACAGAACGTGAGCAGTTTGGCCAGAAGCTTACCCCAGCCCAACTTTACTCCCTGGCCCAGGAAACATACCTTGTTCTGGGCAGTGGGGATCTGCACAGTGACCGGGGGATTGTCTTTTTCCAGCCGGGTCAGCAGGAGGGTGTTGCCCACTGTTCCAGGCTGGAGGGTGGCCAGGGCCAACACACACACAGTCACCCCTGACACACAGAACACACCCAGAGTCATTTCAGCTGTTACAAGGAATTCTCTTCAATGTCTCCTGCACTTAGTCCCTATCTATCACTCAAGACAATCTGGTCACTGGAGTTCAAGGTGTTCTCACTTGCCCTAACAGTTCCTTGGGGACAGAGACCATGTCTTGTACTTCTTTGGGCCCCTCACAGAAAAGAACAAAGGGCCCTCACAGAAGGACACACTCAAATAGTCTGTTAACATGTTTCATGTTAGCATAGGGAGCCTGTGTACATCTGAACTTATGTCTGAATAAAGACATTGAATTTACTTGTAACTCAAAGTTGAAGTGAAAAAACAACAACAAAGCTTCCAGATTTAGGGTATGTCTGTTTGGTGAGAGTAAGAAAATGACTAATCAACCCTGGCTGGTGTGGCTCAGTGGATTGAGTACTGGCCTGCAAACCAAGGGGTTGCCAGTTCGATTCCTAGTCAGGGCACATGCCTGGGTTACCAGCTGAGTTCCCAAGTTGGGGTGTGCAAGAGGCAACTGCACATTGATGTTTCTCTCCCTTTTTCTCTCCCTTCCCCTCTCTCTAAAAATAAATAAATAAAATCTTAAAAAAAACGAAAAGAAAATGACTGATCAATGAAGGTATGATAAGTCCTTTCATACGGCCCATAAAACTATGTGAGCTAACTAATGCCTTAAACACTTTCACCCAACTCTTCAGTAAGAAGATAAATAAAAGGACAGGAGAGACAGCTGAGGTCTGCTACCATACCACTAGGGATCAGGGCCAGGCACTGCTGGAAACTCTCCTTCTCAGGCTGGGGGAAACTGCCAGATCCCAATGTCCTGAAGGAGAAGAGGCGCTGGATACGGGCCAGGGGGACATCTCCAGGCTTCTCCTGGAGGCTCAGCCCCTGTAACTGGTCTGTTATTTCAAGTGATCTTTGGTGCTTCTGGGCCTTGCTGCAAGCAACACAAGTAGGGGTGAGTTCTTCCTCCTTCAAAGTCTGGACCCCTCCCCCTCCAGTCTGCCCCAGCACAAGCCTT